TCGGTTGAGAGTTGGAGTTTTCTCTTATAAAAGTTCATGAACTTGGATGAGCCCAAGGCCATATCAGGGCTGAGCGAGATTTTATGAGGAATACAAGGATGCTGTATTTATATGTGTGATATCACTAGTGTTGTCATTAGGAATAATAAATTTAAAACTTAACTTCACTTTATGATGCTTACACTAAGGTAATATTCAAATCGAAAGATATATTACTTTATTCATAAATACTATTTAATCGCTTGGAGAAAATTTTAAATTTGAACAAGTGAGGGATTGTTATAAAATTGTTCAAATTAAAAAGAAAAAAAAATTCTTTTCAAAAGATTTATTTGAAAAGGTGGTTTCTTTTGTAGTTATTTTGGTAGTTATTTTTCAAAGGTTGTGTCTTTTGAGAAAAATAATCTATAAATAGGTATTTGAGGGTAGATAATGTAGACATCTCTTTCACACTTTCTTCTTTACTCTCCAAGTGATTGAATTAGATATTCTTTAATTCCTCTTTGAAGATTCTTTATTATTTACTCAATGCAGATGTTCTAAAGGCTTATCATATCTACTAAAACTATTTGCATCAAACCCATAGAAATCTTATTGAGAAGATAGTACAAATATTATTTTTAAGAAAGTGTTTATACACATTTCAAGCCTAAATATATTTTCTATAGTATTCTTGATCTTGTGTTTGTTATTTATTTCCATAGTGTTTTTATCTTTTTTTCATATTTTTCAACATATTAAAAGATTTTAAAAGAAAATTATAAATAGTAAAAGTTGTAAATAATAATCCAAAATATCCCAATCATATTACCTTTTTACCCAATACACGAGAAACAACAAAAGGGTATATCGGTCAATTTAAATCTCCTGTGGTAAACGAAGTAAATACAAGGACAGTCCGCCTCATCTTATTTCCGCCGCCGAAACCCCCAGCCGATTCCCACCACCCCTTCTCCTTGCGTCATCCTCCTCCATTGTCATGGCGAGCATCGTGTGCTTCGCCACCATCGTGGGCTCCGTCGACTCACCCCACCGGAAGCCTTCTGGTTCCTGTTCTAATATTTCTCTCAAGTCCAATCTCCTCTTCCCAAACCCCATCTCCCGTGGTGTCAACCCTAGCTTTCAATCTCTCAAGGCTAAGGTGAGTTCTGTTTGAGCTCCTCTGGATTGATCTTTCGCTGCTTCTTCATTGAAGTTTCTTCCTGAGCAGGCCACAGAGAGTGATTCTAATAAGGCTAAGGTGAGTGCTGTTTGAGCTCCTTTGGATTGATCTTTCGCTGCTGCTTCATTCAAGCTTCTTCCTGGGCAGGCTACAGAGAGTGATTCTAATAAGGCCACGAAACTGAAAAGCCTCATATGTGCTGATTGTGAGGGGAATGGTGAGTGATTGACCCTGGGTTTCCTGACTTTTCTTGATCTTGGATGTGTTATTTATGTCAAGAAGCTCTTTTTCATTCATCTGTAGGTGAAAAAAGTGAAGATGGCAGCTTTATCTTTTCTGTTGCTGTTTTTTTCCTATTCTTTCAACCGCAGTTGTCTAACTTTACGACGCAGAGCATGTTAGATTTTGACGTAATGCAAGCATTATAAGCTATTAGAAGCTATTATAAGTAGCAAAATATATTGAATTGCTATTAGAAGCTATTTCTTGTAGTTTGTCATTCAATGTAACTTGATCTTGTCTTTGCGACTTGTCCAGAAGAAATTAACATGGTATACAAATTCAGATTTTTATTGTTAGATCTCTTAGGAGCTCTAATTAACTACATATCCATTGACACTTTGGTTGTTTTGTGCTTGATATTCCATTTCATTTTGATTTAAAAAACAATGGTTTTCAGACTGATTTGTCTTGGTGGATTCTTGTTTGGTTCATTGATTATGAACATGATGGAAGAAGTTCCAATTCACGTATATGTTTATGACAGCTGCAATCTTGTTCACGTTTTTTTTTTCTTTATTTTCTTTTTCATGTCATTTTTACCCCTACACACAGTTTTAGAATGGTTACACGATCAGTGCTTTAGATGATTTTTCTTTAGTAGTTTCAGATTCATATGCATAGGGAAGGAAGGAATCAAAAGATTTCATTGTGACGATAATCATCTAATAAAGTTACAACAAGAGAAAGAGGAACATAAAATGATCCTTAAATCTCTGGTATTGAAGAATTCATGTTGTCCATAGTATTTAACTGGCTATTATTAAAGTGCTGTAATTTTTGCAACTCCTGATATAATCTGTCAAGTACACGAACAAACTACAAACAATTACTTCACTAAAGATATCACTCTGTTAAAAAGGGCCTTAGTGTTATTTGGTACATATTGAATCTTTGGATGCTAAATGCTAACTGCTTAAAATAGGCCAGCCAATTGGCTGGCTAATTTTGCTTGAACAGCTGCTTGTGATGTTTTTCGGGAAGTCTACCTTCCGATTTGGCTTTTTTGGTTCGCTGTGACACGAACATGCTGGGTTGTATTCGTTTTGCTTAGCTTATCAATATAGTTTTTTCTCTTTCTTTTGGAAAAAAATGCAAACTGCTTATACCATATCTGATAACAGGTGCAAAATTGTGCACACAATGCAAAGGCACTGGTGTGAATTCTGTCGATCACTTCAATGGGCAATTTAAAGCTGGAGCACTGTGTTGGCTTTGCAGGTAGGTGGTTGATCGAATAAATGCAGCACTTCCTCTATCAGGCACATCGATAATATTCTCTTACACACATGGGTAGTACATTGATCTGATGAAAGACAAATTTCAAGAGCATTAGACAATAGATTAGTCATATGATTAGATTGGTTGTGCTTGCTATTTTGTACTTTAGTCTGTGAGTTTAGCAGATGAAAAATATGAAAAAGAGTGAATGAACTGTAATTGTGATTTACTTTGATGTTTGGAGATAGAGGAAACATTTTTATTGCCTATGATCATTTTGGAAAAGTGAAATTAAAACAAATTCCAGTTGTGTGCAGATCTTGAGGTGACCTTCATATGAAAAGGATTGTAAACAGAAAATCAACCTAATATAGAGTGCCAAACGGACTCTCCTGGGGTGAAAAATTATCTGATCTGACCTAATGCAGTGGTATACCTTTTCTTGAGAATCAATTTTTGGCATTGCCTTTGGTCTTGAAAGGCATTCTTTTTCTTAGGCTTATGTATATATTACATACCCTTGATAGGATCAACCTGATGCAGTGGTATGCTTTTTCCATAAAATCAATTTCTTGGTCACCTTGGGTCTTGATAGAATCTTTTGGCTTGTGTTTTTTGGTTGGCTCATGGATAGGAGATGTCTTGATCACAAGTTAAAGTTGAACCTGGTTCACGACTGAATCATAGGTGGGAGCATTGGCGATCAACTTGGCATCTGCGCTGACATTGCCAATACGACACTAAGCATCAACCTTACCTTGCCTGTCTTTGACCTTTCCTGTGCATTGTCTTTGTAGTTATCTGAATGTTTGGTCTTAGGGTACAGTTACTAGGCGCTTCAGTCTTGTAACCCATATCTCATTTTACTACTTCAGAATAAACCGAACAGGGCTGCACCTCATTTTGCTAACTTTTTAGAGTAGTGAATTCTGTTTTGAGAGTGAAAATTATTGGATCTTACACTGCTGATGCTTATATCCTTCATCTTTGCAGAGGTAAGAAGGACATCTTATGTGGAAACTGCAATGGCGCTGGTTTTATAGGTGGCTTTATGAGCACGTTGGATGACACCTGTACGTAGCTTATTAAGATGTTCAATGGTCATGTTGTGATTCCTCGTGGAAATCGATGCTTCACTTGTTGAACTTCTGGCCCAGTTTTCCTGAAACTTCTGTAAAAGAGTTTGAATTTTAAGTTTATTCAGGTTTCCCAAGCAATTCTTGAATTCATATAAATGCTGCTATAATAAGCGGTTAATTATATATTACCTCTTATGATTAGTTATTTTTAGTTTCAAGAGTTATATTGAGATTTTTATAATTATGAAAATAAAATATTTAATTTCGTTTCTTTCACATCGTCAAATCTATTGATGAAAATATTATAGGGTTTATCATTAAGAGTATTTTTATCAGTTGAGTTATGATACGAGAAAAAATAAGATTAAATATTTTACTTTCGTAAGTATAAGAATCCTATTGTAACAAATAATTTGTAATTAGTCTTGAATCAGTGTAGGTTGTTACAAAGCTTTTATTCTTTTTTTGAGATCTCAAGATTTTTTGATTGTTTTGAATAGCTTTGGCTTTGAATTAATCATAAGATTCGAATGTTTATAATTGTGCAAAATGAAGTAATTCGCTAAGAGTATTGTTGAGTTGATATCTGATTCAAATCATAATCAAATACACATTCTATACATTGTTATATTTTGATATCAAGTGCTACAAATTTTGAAGACGAAAACAAACATACGGTGAACTAATATTACTAATATCCACTGAAAAATTGTGAGCATTATAGATAAACTTTATATCCTTAGGAAGAAAACATTCTAACATGTTCTATCGCAACTAATCTTGATTATTTTAGATATGATTCTATCTTGTGAATTCGTATCAATTTTAGATCACAAATTGCATGTAGAGATAGCAACATACTAGAAAAATAAAATCTAATGTTCATCATTTATGGACATAGCAATTGACATGTCCCCATGCATTGTCCATGGTGCATGGAGCATCTCACGTGCGAAGAAATGAAGCGGCGGCGACTTTGGATGGCGAAGTCACGCATGTATTACTACCATAAAAGGAGCATCTAATCATGTAAAGTCGATTAATCCATGATAATAAACCTCGTAATGCAATGCCCATCTTTCCTTGTATTAGATGGTTTAGTATAAACTACGTAAGTGTTTCCGTCACATTGAACGATGCGAACAGTACGTGTCAGCTCGGCCGCTCTCGGTGACGTAACTGATGATCTCTTCGCTAGCTCGTCGATCGAGGGCTCATATAACTGACGCGCGCCGTGGCGTTGCGCGGAACGGCTCGGCCCTTCCTCTCTCTGAGGCGCCACCGAAACCACCTTCCTTCGCCACATCTCTACACGACGGTGATGGCCCCCGCCGCCGCCGATCGGGAGCACCAGATCGCTGGGGATTGGTACTCCGTCCCGGATCTCAGCCTCCGTGACCATCGCTTCACCGTCCCACTCGATTACGCCGCCCCTTCCGGCCCTACTATCACCGTCTTTGCTCGTGAGGTTGTCGCCGGTAACGTGTCCTTCTTAGAATAATAGGGTTTTATGAAATGGCTGTGTGGTACTCCACTGCCTTAAACAGAATCTATCTTTTCTCTCCTCTATCTCTGCATCTACAGAATTAGCAGAAATTAGTAGAAGGGTAACGCGTCGTTGCAAAATGCTCTCCAATATGTTCTTCTTGATCGCCAGTTGGTTCGCTTTCTAGATGTGTGACAGTCCACTGCCTTCTGGAGAATCCATCTACACTCTGCTTTCTCTGAATTAGTGGAAAAGCAAAGGGTGTAGTGATTATTGCTATTTGAATTTCTGAATCATATGCAAATGGAATTCTTGTTGAACGCTTTCTAGCCATCGAAAGAACGAATCAGGAGTTGGATCGACTACAGGATGAAATTTAGAATAACTGATCACTTGATGCGGTACGTGTTTAGGAGAAGATTTGGTTGAATTATTGATGAAGTCATTTCGTGGACGGTTTAGCTTCTGAATTGGCTTCAGTGCAAGAAGCAAGCCAATTTTAGGTGCTGTTGTGGGGCTTCCACCCAAAGCCTTGTTAACACGTCACTTTCAAGCACCATAGGAGCGAGCATTTACTAGTCCCTATTCTAAGATGTTCCATCGTCTGTAACTCATATCTCCATTTATTTTGTAGTTGGGAAGGAAGAGCAACAACTGCCCTACATACTGTTCCTACAAGGTGGACCTGGATTTGAAAGCCCTCGGCCTACTGAGGCTAGTGGATGGCTGAAGAGAGCATGTGAAGAATATAGAGTTGTTTTTCTTGATCAGGCATGATCTAGGGTTTCAAAGAATTTCAATCTTTTATTTTTTTTTTAATTTCACTTCATATTTCTCAGATTTTACCTCTCCTTGTCAGAGAGGAACAGGTTTATCGACTCCCTTAACAGTGTCATCTCTTTTGCAAATCCCATCTTCAGCAAAGTTGGTTGAGTACTTGCAATATTTTCGAGCAGATAATATAGTAAAAGATGCTGAGTTTATTCGCACACATCTTGTACCAAATTCTGGAACCTGGATGGTGTTAGGGCAAGTATAAATTCTGCCATGAATGTTTTCTAGAGTTATTGAATGCTTCATGTGCCAAATATATATTACACCATGATTCTCGGACCTGCCATTTTGATTGTCATGTTTATTCAAAGATGATTGTGTGAAATTTTATAACCTGAGATATTGGCAATGTTAAATCTATTACATTTCTTGGCCTATCATATAGAACTATCTAGTTTTTTCAGCTTCTGATGATTTTATATGTGAAATGAATACTTTGATAAAGCTCAGTTACTTTGCATGTCTTTTACTGGTGTAGAGCTTCGGTGGCTTTTGTGCCGTTACCTATTTGAGTTTTGCTCCAGAAGGCCTCAAATCTGTTCTTTTAACTGGTGGGCTTCCACCAATTGGAAAGGGTTGCACTGCAGATGTTGTATACAAAGCCTGTTTTGAGCAGGTTGTGCATCAAAATGAGAAGTACTATAAGCGGTTCCCTCAGGATGTTAAAGTAATTTGTGATCTTGTGACTTATCTGGCCAAAGCTGAAGGTGGAGGGGTTAGTTGTTTTCTTATAATTGTAATCTTTTTAATATTATAGTAATGCTTTAACTAGAGCATATAAGGTTTCTATATCCGATTAGGTGCCTCTTCCATCTGGAGGTATTTTAACCCCGAAAGGGTTGCAAACTCTTGGCCTTGCTGGCTTAGGCTCTAGTGGTGGTTTTGAACGTCTGCATTACATGTAAGAAACCATTTCATTTTTAATATCTGTTAGCATTTGCAGCTTGGTCTGACATTTTTTTACTACAGGTTCGAGATGGTCTGGGATCCTGAACTAGTTCCAGGCACGGGGAAGCGCATAAGTTATTATTTTTTGAAGGCTGTAAATATCATTCTTTGCCCTTTTTCCCATCTTTGCATTTTTTTTATATTGTTAATCTATTTGAACATGTGCACATTCTTCTTTGAACTATTTTTTATTGTACGTGCACACTTAAATGGACGAAAGCTATGAAGGAAAACAAAACTCTGATGCTTCCATGGTTCATGGATCCTCGTGTTGTATTCAGTTGTGCATGTTTCTGGTTTAATCATTTCCCACTTCAGAATTAAATGAAAGAGTCCTCAATTTACAATAGTTGACTTAATATCCTTCTGGCAGTTTGAGAGCTGGTTAGATTTTGATACAAACCCACTCTATGCTCTTTTGCATGAATCAATCTTCTGCCAGGTAACCAAATGTTTACCTCCAACTAAAAACTTCCTTTAGTTAACCAGATGTTGTAACTTAATACATGTTCTTGCAATTTGTTTTTTGTTGCTTATTCCTCTTTCTGATGTAGGGCGCTCCATCACAATGGTCTGCTCAAAAAATAAGGGGCAAATATGAGAGCATTTTTGATCCAGTCGGAGCTGCAAAAGAAGGTCGTCCTGTGTTTTTTACTGGAGAGGTAAGTGTTGATCATCGAAAGGCTAGGCATCTTTTGAAAATTCATGATTCATCTGAATCTTTATTAGCAGAAGTATCACTCATGGAGTCAAGTTTCTTTGAAGTAGAGATAATACATATGTGGATTGGCTTGACTTGTGAAACCCAAACCCATAAATGCATTTAAGTGTTGTGCAACAAAGAAATATTGATTAAGTTAAAGTACAAAAAAATATATATTTTGCTTGTCAATATATTTGTGGGTATTTTATTGTGCTCAATTTTTCCTTGATCCATATTTTTATCAAGATCCTGCTTGATGCATAACCTCAGAGTTGTAGCAAGCTAATTGAACTGAAGGCATTGCACATGAAGGCCAAAGCATTTTATCTTTCAGGTAGTTTTAGGTCGGGCTATTGAAGCTAGGTGGATGAAAATTATTGGATGGGCCTAAATGATGTATTTCATAGTAAAAGGGGCTAGCTAACTAGAGTTTAACCTAACATTTTTGTTCATAGACTTATTGCTGGTAATACGTTATTGCATCAAGTAAATGTCCCTAGAGATATGTTGAAAAGACCTACAGAACAACTCAGTCTTAATAGCGACCGTCCAATTTATGATTGTTTCAATTGCTCGTTTTAATCATGATCACCCAATAACGAGTAAGATTAAGATTGATTTATAAGAGTCTAATAAGTATACTACTATCAATTTTAGCTTAAACATTTTGACCAATAATCTCGACCAAACGTGGTTGATAAGCCAGTTAACCTATCAGGCCTGGGTCGTGACATTTGATATCAGAACTGACCTAGTGTTTAGGCATGGTGAGGGGGTTCGAGTAAGAAAGTGCTATCCATCGATGGAGTTAGAAGACTCATCACGGCGTGGAGCCACCACTAGGCTATGCTTCACAAGCACCATGTCAGAGTTTGATCTGGGATATGTTGGACTTTAATGAGGACGTCAAGCCCTTGAGTGGGAGAAATTATAATACTCCGATTAGTTCTACATCGAAAGTGAGCAAGATTAAGCTAGTCACTGAGTTTGTAATTCCACCTCTTGCAGGCTCTACCTGCTTTGATTGCACTGAAGTCCTTGATCGGAAAGCCTAGTCATTAGCTGTTTCATCATGTCTTGGAGAAATAATTTAATCAAAGGATATAGCTTGCAGATACAACATGTGTACATGTATCTTTCCAATTACAGGGTTTTAAACCTCAACTACATATACAGTGAACTACTAAGACATTGTGACTTTAGCAAATTAAGGAATGAACAAAAAATTTCTTGTACCAATTAAGAGTAGTTATATTTGATGTATAAATTATATTGAAGAAAAATAACAATTCACTGGCTCTTTGCTAAATAGATAAGAGTTAATTGTGCATCTGTTTGTTATACATTTGCCTTTCTAAGTAACATGTTATTTTGAGAACCTTTGGACCTTTTTGATGCTCTTTGAGCAAGCTTCCTGTAGCTTGCTAAGTTACTAACATCATTGCGAAACTTGTCAGGGTTTTCCAGAAATATTTTTACACAAAGAAAGTCATTAGTCATATAGTATGGTTATATCTTTGTTTTTGCTAAATCTTAATATTTTCTTTGGGTTTTCCATACAGATGATATTTCCATGGATGTTTGAGGAGATCCATGCTTTAGAACATTTTAAGGAAGCTGCTCATTTGTTGGCTGAGAAGAAGGATTGGCCACCATTGTACGACATTAGTAGATTAAACAACAATAAGGTCTGATACTTTGACATGCTTTTTCCGTAGATCTTTTATTGATTGTTTATTGTTTTATTTAGGAGCAATTATTATTCTTTGAGAGAGCAAAGTTCCTACTTTATGGACATCGAGAATAATCATAGACAGATAGATGAGCTTAAACAGTATCTTCTATTGGTTTTGACGCTCATAGACACAGACATGCGTGAACCTTAGTTTGTTTTGCTGGGAGCAATAATCTTTATTTCAGACTTCAGATAGTATAGTTCTTTTTGCTTTACTGTGTCAGAAAGCATTGTATGTGATATTAACATGTAATGGACAGGGATATATACATTGAACTAAAACAGAACCATCCATGCATATGTACTTGCACATGCTTTTGATGATCATAATTGTACACTTCGAATCTCTTTCCTACTAGTTTTTTTGTCCTTATTGCTGTTGTGACCAAAATTCATACCTCATGCAGGTTCCTGTTGCTGCTGCTGTTTATTATGAAGACATGTACGTCAACTTCAAACTGGCAATGGAAACAGCTTCTGAGATTGCAGGGATCAGGCTGTGGGTGACAAATGAATATATGCACTCCGGACTCCGTGATAGCGGCTGTCAAGTCTTTGAGCAGTTGATGGGTATGCTGCAAGGCAAGAAACCTTGGTTTTGATTTCTAATTGAAGCAAAATGATGTGACTCTTCCCACTGATGATTATTATACTTTTTATCTGCTTCAGTTTATTTGGATCAGAAAAGCTGGACTACCCCCTAATTATTTTTTTTTAATTTTATTTTGGCATATAAGCACAACAACATTTTAAATCCTTTTTAGGTTTTCTTATATTGTCCTATTTGATCATAAGCATCATTGCAACACTTGTTGATAGGTATTAATTGTGCAATGAGATGACATTTAATTCTTTGAGCTGTCATGGAATCTTCTTACTCTAGTTTTGCTTTCTTTACCTCTTTTTAAATGTTGAGTTACATCTGAAAGATGCAGAAAATGTTAAATTTGGAGAAAGATATTTGTGCAAAGTTAGATGCCCATAGGTGGGATGAATGACACACGAGTTCGAATTACATTCAAGAAGGTTACAGCTGTTAGTGTTGCATAAACCAAATGTGTAGAGGGAACAGTTGACTGATATATTTTCTTAGACCAGTAGAGTTAATTTTTTTGGTGGGATGGGTTGTTCAAACTCATATTTCTAATATCCACAACTGACCAACTTAATCTAACAGTCATTTTTTTCCCCCAAAAAAAAAGAGCCGTCTAACTCCAAATTCCTATTGCACGGCACTCTATGTTCGTCAGGGAGTACAGAGTGCATATATTCATTTGAGAGCCTGCATGCAGGGATGGCATGTCATGTTTATCCATCGCAGGTTAAGTCCTCTTAGCTTAAGGTGTTTGTTAATTGGGTTTTGATACTTGAATAGATAGTCTGATTTGTTATTGAGTTGGGAGTACTTTATCCATTGTGATTCCCTATCGACTAGATATTAATTGGATTTTGAGATGGGATATAAGATGGGTACCAAAATCGGGTTCGAGTTCTTGGCATAGTTGATCCCATTTTCGATATAGCTTACAGCAACCTTTTCGCACTGTGCAATGATTGATGATGAAGCGATGTGGGAAAGGAACGTGATAATATGCTACAATGATTTATAACGGGTTGGTCATCATGTTTCGATAAATTCTAATCACATACTTTGATATGATGGTCGAGGAAAATAACGGTACCACAAAGGACGTGTAAATTATTTTGGTGAGGATCGGTAAGACCCAAATTCGACTTGGATAATGACAATAAATTTTTTAATGTAGAAGCTTAAGATAAATTGATCCTTTTGAGGTTACTAATTCCCAAATTTATTTATTTTTCTTGCTAACGTACTAATTTCATTATTTTCAATAAAATAAAATAAATATTAACCATTTCTCACAGAATGGATTGAAAAAAAAGAAGAAGCTAGAAACATAATAAAATTATTTTCCAAATGTGATAAGAGATATTATTGATTAATCATCCAATACATCATCATAACAACATAGTGCACACAGAGAGAGAAGAGGAAGCTTGACGAGAAAGACAATCACAAGAAGCTTTCTTCTTACCAAAATATGACCAGAAAGATAATTATAAGCTTTCTTTTCCTCATTTATCATCATAAAGACAATTACACATTTCCTTCTTGTCATTTACGAGTAAGTATAAAAGTTGGCCTTTAAGAAGAGAAAAAGAATGGTTGGAAATTATTCACACATGTACTCATACACCTCGGGTTATTAACTTGGTGTCGAAGGGATCGGGTTGAGAAACCTTTCTCGATCTCGATCTTCATGCAGGTGATACCTTAAAAGCTCATTGTTTTCACCTCGGAGACATCTCGGATAACCCTTCATATACGGGTCCGGACCATATTGAGCTAACCAAGATGTCAATGATATTTTTCCCTAATATTTTGGTGCTACAGGAGAGACCCGATATCACAGGAACATTTGCCTACCAACCCTCTCAACAAATGCTTGAGAGAGGAAACCCTATCCCCAACCAACAATACTTTCACTCAAGGGGGTAGTAGGCAACCTTTTCATACGTGGATGCATCCATCTCGGTGCAAACGCCGACACGATACTAGCACCCATTCAACAATCGGAGGGCGACCCCGAGTCACCTACTCGTCCCCGATAAAGTGTTCCTAAATCGTACCCAACATGTGCATATGCTAATGGGTATGATGCAAGTTGTTGCTTTGCTCTTGCCCCCACCCGATGCACTACCAATATCTTAAGAGCACTTGAGGCCCATCAAACCACCGGTCGAGCAAGTACCTCGTTCCCCAACTATGGAATTCAACAGATCGCCACACCGTCACTCTGTTACATCTGAATCCCAAACCCAATCGACGTATTCGACAAATGATTCTCTGAGGATCTAGCTATGGCAAATGGACCAGTACTCAAAAGAAATACAATGAGAATTCCAATAATCTAAAAGGGAACGATCGACCAACCCCATCTCAGGTCAATCGTTGTTCACCAAAGACATTAAGGAGGAGCCAATCCTAACTAGCTTCTATCTCTCATCATTGGAAGCTTTTGACAGTAATACCAACCCACCATAGTACATCGCTACTTTTCACGCTCAAATGTTGTTATGCGATACTTCGGATGCCCTGATGTATCATACCTTCCCAACTCCACTAAGAGGCTCGACATAAGATTGGTACACCCGTCTGAAGCCGCTCTCTATAAATTCCCTTGTTCAGCTCATTAAGGAGTTTGAGCTTCATTTCCTTGGGAATATATACCTAAAGTCATTAGCGATAATGCTTCTTGGACTTAAGAGGAAGAGGAGACGCTCTGGAACTTCATCGCTCAATTCACCAATAAGATCTAAGGCATGCAAGATGTTCATCCATCACTTAAAATATAGACTTTTATAATGAGACTCAAGTCTTCTTGTCTTTTTTAGTTGTTGGTAGAGAGACCACTAGCGATGATACCCGAAGTACTCCAATGAGCCAATCAATACATCATTGTCGAGGTAATTATCTCGGGTAAACATGAAAAGACATGCAAAAGGCAAAGACAAGATCAGCTATAATCCTCGTTGACCCCAAGGTCATTGCGACGAGAAAGTGATTGACTTGAGTTGTCGTGCTCAAGACCCAAGTCAACCCCCCTTAATACGACTAGGACTGAATTATTTTTATAAATAAAAGAGAAGAAACTCTTAAAAGACCCTCAATCAATAAAAACTTCGTTGGCAAAGAGAGATCAATCTAACTATTATCCCTTCCACTCAGATTATGGCCATAACACTGAAGATTATTGTGACTTGAAAGAACATATTAAAGTACTCATTCATGGAGACTCCTCAGGCAATTTGTCCAAAGGCACCGAGAACCTTTACTTCGACCTTAGAAATTAATGGAAAAATAGATTGACGTCATCATTGGTGGACTTGCCTAATAAGGAAATAGTTCCTTGGGTTATAAAGCTTACGCCCGACTACTATTGAAAAGTGCTTACGGAGGAGAGATGACCCGAAAATCATCTTCAAATAGGAAGAGATAAAGTATCTCGACCTGAACCATGATGATACCTTGGTAGTCTTTGTGAGGATGAACAATGCCCAAGTGAAGAGGGTCATGATTAATATAGGTAGCTCTGTTGATATTCACTCATATAACACTTTCCAAAAACTTGGGCTCTCGACTAACAACCTCACCCCTATGACTTCTTCACTAATGGGGTTCACCGATGACTCAATCTTCCCTCACAGAATATGAACCTACACGTCACGTTTGGAGATGAGCCATACTCCAAAACGTGACAACCAGATTCATGGTGGTCAATATCCCCTTGATAAACAACACGATCAAAGGTCGACCCATGTTAAACAGATTAAGAGCGGTGGTGTCGACTTATCATATAGTGATGAAGTTCTTAACGAGGATTGACATCAGAGAGCTAAGAAGCAACCCAAGGGAGTCATGCTAGTATTACCTTACAATGGTCTCCCTACTAAAAAAGGCACGATTCAAGGCACCACTTGTGGATCCCCAAAGTTTTGCTAAGTCCTTCTCGCACCCAGAACCGGTGGAATCACTAATCAAGGCACCCTTGGACAAAGCCCGTCCCGATCAAGTTGTCAAAGTTGGGGTGATAGTTCCCAAGGTGAAATAAGTGCAACTCATCAATCTCCTTAGGGAGAATGATAAGGTGTTCGCATGGTCACCAAGAGATATGCTGGGAATAAACCTAGATGTATGCCAACATTACTTAAACATTTCTCTTGAGGCATGACCAGTGACACAAAAGCCTCATAAATTTACCCTTGACCACCAGCAAATAATCAACAATAAGGTAGATAAGCTGTTAGTAGTAGAATTTATTACCGAGGTGCAATACCGTCAGTGGCTCGCCAATGTCATACTCATTAAAAAGTCTAATGGAAATTGGATAATATATGTTGATTATACTGATCTGAACAAGGCATGTCTGAAGGATAGTTATCCTCTTCCTCGTATTGATCAGTTGGTTGATGCTATCTCAGGTCATGAGCTCATCACCTTTATGGATACATTCTCAGGATATAACCAAATAAGGATATCATCAAGGGATCGGGAACATACTTCCTTTATTACCAATTAAGGCACATATTGTTACCAAGTCATGTCATTCAAGTTGAAAAATGCATGCACGATGTACCAAAGGATGGTGAACAAGATGTTCAAGTACTAGATCAAAAGGAACATCAAAGTATATTTAGATATATGATAGTCAAAAACAAAATAGTTGACTCACACTTTGCGAACTTAATCGTGATGCTTCAAGTTCTAAAGAAGTTCAATGTGCACCTCAATTTAACCAAGTATGCTTTAGGAGCCAACTAAAGTTTCTCGGATTCAATGTACATCAAAGGGGAATATATATGAACCCCGAGAAAGTGCATGCTAGGCACCTTCCTATTCAAGGAATGGAGATTCATGTCTCTAAAGGATCATAATCACAAGGCTATAGAGTATTAAAAAGAGGGATGAGGTGAAGTGATAGGAGGTTCAGGTCGTACTCCGAGAGGCTGAGCTAAGACCCACATTAATCGATCAATCCTCATCCATTTTCTGGATGGCCTCGGAGGAAGAGATTATATCCCTAAATCGAAACACTTAACCCATCTCCTCATCTGATAATAAAAGGGGGTGTCATCCATGCAATATGTCGATCAAGTGAGATCAAACCCCTACTCTCAACTCGAAACTACGAAAAGAAGTGCTTCTTCCAACCCTTGTGGTTGGAAGGGCTCCATTAACTTTAAAGCCCCCACAAGTGGTCAAGTAGTAGCCACTTTTTCCCTTGCATAATCGAAAACAAGCCGTGAAATATTTATGGGTCAAAGTAATGTCGATATACCAA